CAGCACCATAAATGCGACGCAGTATCTTACGCTCAAACACTTGTAACACTTTCTTAATGTTAACATGTAGAGTAATGTCACAATTTCACCGAGCGCAAGTTTACCGATGATTCCCCCTTCCACTAACACTGACTGTGTCCCCCAATCGTATACTCAATACTGTCTGTTAATACGTGACGTCATGTGGCCATCGGCAAAGATGAGCACGAGTAAAAGGTACATTTTTAGATAACAAATGATGGAATTTCGGTAACATCTATCGTGGCTTCATATAGCCTTAACTACTCGTTATTTTCATACAACTACATTTAATTCGATATATTTTATTCTATTTGTACACTAGGCATTACAATATTCATTTCAAATTTAACGTATAATTTTATCAAATATCATTATTATAAATTTGTTTCCTTACTATTTAGTGCGCGACTGTACTCACTAACATACGTATGTAAGTCACATATAATTTAAGTTCATTCGTTCCACAACTCGTAGGACATCGTCTGTTGAACGTTATTTTAACTAATTAAAGAATTATTTGCAACACTGAGTAGGCTGAGTCTTTTTCTAATTTTATTCGTGGTATTACTCTACGCAAAACTCGTTGAATCATACGGCAAGTTATTTTAAATCCGATTTTATATCATAAACTGTCATTTTTGGCACATTTTTAATGAAGTGAATATTTTTCAGATAAAAGATGTAATGTTAATTACGATGAAGGCCGGTGTAAGATCGTAACCAGGTAATAACGATTTGACCACCTCATACTTAACCGAAATACACGTGCCAGTAAAATGGGTAGCTGGCTTGCTAGTTACTGGCACTGAGCTAATGGTACAATGTATTCACATGTCAGTAAAATATGGTGATCGTATGAGACTAGACGTGTCATTGTAAAATTTCGTACCCTCTCTCTCAAGTTACTTGCTCTTAGCTGTCACAAAATCATATACCATCGCAGCTATTTGCGTGTGTATTGCCGACCTTTTAAAAACGAGTATACGAGATTTTCGCTCGACATAATGTAATCATACTAATATTATAAATGCGAAAGTTTAGATGGATGAATGTTTGTTAGAGTTTGTAGCCTTAACGGCTGAACGAATTTCGATAACATTTCGTATAGATGTCGAAGATAGTCTAAAAGAACACATAGGCTACTCACTTTTGATTTTTTTCTTTAATACACGCGGACGGAGTCGCGGGCGAAGCTAGTAATAGATAATTACATTTTTCGTTCCATTTTTGTAAACCATTCTTAGTGTTTAGAAATAAAAAGTGTTGACTGAGCAACATTTTACAAAGTTCGACTGAAACTGTTACAATAAATATGTAATAAAAATTAACTACATTTAAGTTTTAACTTGAAATAAAAATAGTTTAAAAATATTATATAAAGGAATTTCAATGAAGTTTCAAATATGATCTATTAAATTGACTGACCTTTAGGTTTAAATGTTTTACTTCTTTTGAAATTTCGTAGCTAACTTTTATAGCTACTTGTATGTACTATTAAAAATGTAAACATCCAAGATTTGTATGTTATGTGTGTTCAGGTACCGCTACGACAGGCGCGCCCGGCGCTGCCTGCCTTTCGACTACTGGGGAAAGGGCGGCAATAAGAACAACTTCAACACATTAGAGGACTGCCAATTCCGTTGCGAAAACGACAGGCCGCTAAGTATTTTAGACAGATAAATATATATCTACTTTATTGTTCAACCATTATAAAATCCGATATACACGTGTACATTTTAATGCTGAAGGTTAAATAAAATACTAATAAACCTTTATTTTTTTATTTCCTTTCCTTCGTTCCCGAACTATTTTTGCTTATTACATTTTGATGTCTTTTATCTGGTTTGATATGCATGCTATCTTTTGTGAAGATATAAAATTAAAAATCAATCTTCCCTTAAGCCACTTTGTAACGCTGACAGTGTTAGTACTGTGCCGAACTCAATTTACAAATTGAAAGGAACGCGTTTAGAAGCCGGGATTAGACATGAATAGAAAATGAATAAAGCATACAATTTGATTTAGAGCACGTGTGCTCTTGGAATTTATGCAGCAAGTTTTTGAGACGTTACTAATAACACAATGCACACTAACCGTTAAATTAGTCCTATACATTTTTAACAGTTTTATTCAATGATATATAGACAACTTTATAAAATAGCTCCGAGCTTCTTATCGTCCTCGGTAGCGCTTTTTTATTACGATGTTGTGACTTAACGCTAAGCATAAAAGTTTTTATTGCCGAGATAATGTATGAGATACGAAATCATAAGGTTTCTTTCTAAGAGATAAACAGAAAGAAACCTCGAGACTTATTTCGTCTAACAATTCAGTTGTGTTGTCTATTGTTTTTTACGGAAACATTGACAAGCAAATTATGCAAATTACACTTTTTTACTAACTACTTTAATTTTAAATTAAATTCCATAATGTAGCTCATTAATTAATTAATTATGTTGCTTAAGTATTGCTTGATAACTTGTATAAACAGTACGACGTTTTTTAATTACTCTATTAAGTATTTAGTTCAAATACATAAATGAGAGTTACATCCAACCACCCAACATGACAACCGCCACTTCTGCGAGTATAAATGGCCTTTGTCCGGTAACTTCTTAGGGTTTAAGTTGATAGTGTATTGGTCCTTACGTATGTGGTCTATAACTTCTCTTAATTAAGGGTCCCACTGCTCGTGTGACCTCCACTAAAAATGTACCTTTTAAAGTAGTTTACAGGAGTAATCTTTGGACATAGCTA